GTCAAAGGAATCCGTGCGCATGCGCTGGACGGGGCTCAGTGAGGCTCCGGCTGCCCTCAGCTATGGGAAAAATTACGGGAACCAGAAAGTACAAGCCGTTCGACTAGTCAGCGGACTAACTCTATAGTCAAAGCGGACTAACGGTATAGTCCTTCAGAAGCATGCAGGCGTGGCCCGTACATCACGCCTGGCCACGACGCAGGACTGACGAGGCCATGATGAGCCGCTGCGGCTCCATGTGGCCGCCTTCAACGGCAAAATCGAGGATGCCTCGGCGCGTGCTAACGACCGAGCCGTCGCGCCGAAGTGCGCGCCAACGTCCCCGGACACAGCGCCATCTTACGTTAGGCGCGAGTGCCCTTCCGTCGCCTGACCAAATCAGCTTCGGCCTCGCTTCCACGTTAAGCCCTTAAATCGCAAACCGTTGCCTGTTGCGATAGAAATCCCTCACACATCTTGAAACACCAGTTCGTCCGTTCACGGGGTCCCAGCACCGATCCGCGTGACGCATCACCCCCGCCCCCCCTCCCCCTTCCTTAATTACGGGAGTACACCCCGAGACACATTGCCGAGCCGGGAGGGTCGCGAGGTCAAGTCCCCCCTCCCCCCCATTTTCCCCAACTACATGGGAGGGAACAGGTGGCTGTGGCCGCGCCCGCACGGTAAGGAGCGGTCAAGGGACACGTTTGGGGTATGGTCCGATGGGGACGGGGACAACAGCCTGTGGAGTCACACGTGCATGTTGACGCCGGCGTCCGTTGTCCGCGGGGCCAGATGCCGCCGCCTGGTTGTCGTCGCTAGATCTCCTCCGTGCTCCTCACTGAGGACTCCCTGACTGATCCTCCTGAACGGCGTCGGAATGTCCTCGTTTTCGCACGGTCCAATTTTTGTTGAAAAGCCCCCTCCGTCCAATGTGTTGCCAGACCGGCCTACCCTTTTCTTGAGCTCTGCCCCCAACGTGCCCCTGGGCCAGATCTCGGGCATGGCGTCGCCGGCGAAGGTGGAGGGCCCGCCTTCTTTCGCCTCGGGCGGTCCCTGCGTGTCCCTCTCTACCTTAATTCTCACGTAGCGTGGCGCCTCTGATGCCAGCTGGAGTGACGATGGCGCCGGCGCGGCGGGGTTCTTGGAGCGGAGCGGAAACATCTTCAAAACATGCAGACAAATATCTCTGTGCACATGTTGTTTCGCCGATGATCTGGCTTCTCGCGTCCATGAGTCTTGACGTGATGAATCATCTCGGAAGAAGAGGTCGCCGTACTGGCCGTTCCGGGAGGAAAACGGCGACCTACCCCACCTGGCAAGGTGACGCGCACTGTTTGCCCCTCCCCCAGATTCGGGCAACAGCAGCCGCCGCTTTGGTGTCGCTGGCCGATCGGCTGGAGCGTCGGCGGATACGCATTCACCCGCGGGTCTAATGGCCGTTTGGTTCAGCGGGGGAGTTCCTGACCATGGCCGGCTTGCTCCCTGCCCTCCGTCCCACAGAGGAGCCCACCGATCCTAGACGGGTGGCGCGCAAAATAAAAAGTGTGAAAATGTATGCCTAAACTTACGAACAGGAACCCGAAGTGAAACTAGGGTACTCCTGACCCACGCACTCGCCTGGCGCGATTCGAAAGTGAAAGGCTCGCCTTTTGCTTCAGGAAATAGGCGGACCCGATCACGGACGCGATCACTGATCACGGATCACGAATAACGGACCACGGTTCACGAATCACAGGCTCGGTCACGGATCACGGATCACAGACACTCACGGGCACTCACGGACTCGGTCACGGTTTACGTATCACGGGCACTCACGGAAACTCACTGACTCGGTCACGGTTCACGGATTACGGACACTCACGGACACTCACGGACTCGGTCATGGATCACAAATCACGGACACGGACGGACGAATCACGGACTCAAATCCGCCATCCCGCATGAACGTGACGCCGGGAGCGCACGACGAAAGCCCGCACCAGCGTAAATGAGTTTCCAGAATACATGAGCGGATCCTACACACCATTCTCGACAATGACCGACACAACACCGCGGGGCGGCCCGTTGATTGGGCCAGGCGCACCTCCTCGCCCCGGTGGTTGGGCGCAGCACTCATTGGCGCGTCGCCCCGAGGGGAAATGGCCTGTCGCTGGCGCCGGCGGGCCGCAATATTCCGTGACAAATAACCGGCCGTGTGCGTCGCACAGACGGAGGTGCGGGAGCCCGCAGTAAACCGCGCAGTCGTAACCAGCTTCGGGCAGCGGCGTGGGACTGCTGCTGAAACATTTTGTTGGGGGGGGGGGGCAGATGGTTTCAATTTTCCCCCTCCTCCTTCAGGGACGTTTGAGCATCCCCCCCCCCGCCCCTCCTCCATCAGGGACGTTCGAGTAGCGAGACAACCTGCCCACCCCAGAGACCCGTGTCCTCTACTTGAGAGGCCCACGGCCGGCCAGCAGCCGTGCAGAAGGGTTGTCTGCGGGCCGCGATCCGGTGACCCAGACAGGGCTGGGCAACGCGCTGTCCAGCGGACTCGCACGGGCAGGTTTCTACACCGTTACCGCAAGCGTAGCGCACGCTGCGTTGCTTTTGGTAGCTCGGTGGAAAAGCGGTTCCCGTTTGTTGAGCACCTTTCAAAGATTGATGGGTTGTGTACCAGGTGTACGCGCGATAAGACATCACGCGCGAGACTGCGGGTGGCAAGCTTATCCCAGCCTTCGCATAGAACAGCTTTTGCTATAATGGAGCAACAGGCTTCTGGTTAAGCTGCAGAAGCCGTTCTCTGCATGAAGACATATGGTAACTCTCCCTTTGCTGGGATGACGTCATTGAACACGAAAACAGTAGGTGAGCCACCAACACGGTTCTGTCAGTGGATATAAAGCAAATGAGTTTCATGTTTCCGCTTCGGGGCTGTCACGGAATACAAGCACGAATATTTTCATGCAAAAAATAATTCCAATTTGCGCCTCCTTTTGAGCATGAATTTAATGATTCTAAAATCGTTCATCACCAATCAATCACCTACGAGGCCTCTAGTGACGGTCTTGACGCATGAGGGCGAAGCTTAGAGACTGACAATGCCGTTCACAAACTTTGCTGGATTGTTTTGGCACTGCGCACAGGGGACAATCCACAAGAACATTCGTATACCGGATATATCAGGATATTCGCCGGAAATCACGCTGCCATTACAGGCTGGACTGACACACGCCGATAGCCGAGCAGCGTAACGCGGAACACCGACAGCCGATACCGATCTAAGTAACTCAGATCAGGCAGGATCAATAGCATCGGACCCGGCAGGGCCTGGTGGTTTCTAAGCACCGATATCTGAGGAAGGTACCGACGCGTTTTCCGATCCAGAAAGCGCAGGCGGAGTATGTCGTCAGACAAAAGCGATGACAAGTCGGTTATCAGGTAATAGTAAGTTGTGCCGTTGTTGAGAAGACCTGGCTCAGGTCAACGCATAGCAATAATTATGCATCGTGTTACAATAAAGCATGCTTTGAAACATGTTGCTATGGTGCTCTGGTTACTATGGTTGCTAAGAGCACCGACGCATGTTGCCAGGGAGGATACGATTCCAAACAGCTAATGATCTCTTGTAAAACTTGACACAGACGCCGCAATCCCCTGCGGCTTTTTACGTAAGCATAGTGAGGCCGTGGACCCTGGCATTGCTGGGGCTTGCGATTCCGAGGCTAACAGTAGCCATCATCACAATGATCCATGTTTTAAACCATGAAACATAATGTACCATGCAAACATAAATCCAAAATATTTCCAGTGATTTTTTCCGGTTTGTAACGTGCTGATTCGGACTGAAAAGTTCAATCTTTTTGCGCTTTCATTCTAAACTTGGTGCCACCCAGATCATGATCCCCTCCTCCATTACACCCCTACCCTACCCCTATCCCCTACCCTATCCCGCGTCAGGCAGGGGTATGACGAAACCACGTCCGGCCGGGGAAGTTCACTTCCACTCGTAGACTTCCAACTTCCAGAGGTTGTATGAGAAAAATGAAGATCTGTTGTGATGGCCTGGTTAAATCATGAAGAATGCACACCAAAGCTTTGTGTAGCAGAAAGACCTCCGATGACCTCACATTTGACCTTGTGTCTGATGTGAGGTCATCAGAGGCCACGAAAGGTCAAAACAGTCGTTTCGATAGATGCGGGTAAAACCTGTCAACATGTCGGGACGGATATTGAGGACAGGGAAATAGGCGTTAATGCAAAAGTCCATTCCGACCATTTCTGTTCCCCCACATGGATGAGGTCAGATAAGGTCACCGTCCAAAATTGTTGCACCAGCATCCTACAAGAGCAGTCCTTTCTTCACGATGTGCTTCTGAGTGAGTTTATTCTATTATATGCAGCTGCGGGATGAAAGTATTCCAAACACAGACATACCATTTTAGGGTGACCTATAGGTCATCTGAGGTGAACTTGGTCAAATTTACTGGACTATCTTTGCGGAAAGATGTTTCCAGACTCACCAAAATCACGCCATAAAGAACGATTTGGCTGTGTCAGTCGATCTCAACGTGTGTTTGTTTGGAATAATCGTTTCCGTGTCATTTGCCAAACAGCAACTTTGATTTTGATGTGAAAAACCGCCGGAAAACAATCAAGCCAGCTTTCAACCGACAAACCGTTATTACCTAAAACTCCGTACGTTTTGTTTAAACATCTTGTAGAGGAACAGAGGGGTTTCCAGCAGTGATGTCAGCTCCTGAATATATTTTTGTGTTCGTAGTCGAAACTCTTTCCTGACATTTTTTAGCTGGCACTGATGTTCGAGGAATATGTTGGAAAGATGAGTCATTCATTATCTCCCATGACTACGATGATCCAATTTTGTCAATAGTCTCAGGGCGGCCAAGCACATTTGTGGCTGAGTAAAGCATTTCTGAAATGTTTCCAACCCAGCATTTAATTCAAACGAGGGGAACTCCATGTGCACGTCAAAATAAATAATCCAGTCAGCTGTAACTCAGCACAGCCGCAGCACTCACCATCGCCATCGGCGTCCTCGGGTGTGACCAGGAAGCCCAGCAGGTGCAGGTTGCTGAGATCGGCATGCCTGGCCAGGCGGTCCGCTCGGTCGGCCAGGTACCGGCGCTCGATGTACTCCGCCGCCGCGCGGTGGCGCCACGACAGCACCAGGCGATGGTGGCGCCACTGGCGGGTCCATAGCGAAGCTGTGGGAGAGACCAACAGTCAGCCGGGGAAGCACCAGACCAGGCCCGCACTCTGAACGAGGGCAGGCTATGTATTCATTTCACAGCACGTGTGACTGCTGTGCTCATTAGTGGCGAAACCACACGCGCAAATTGCGGCGGAGGAAATAGCGAGGCGCCTGCTGACGATAATGAAAGTCTCAGCACAGTGCTGGTAGTTAATCACTATGAACTGCCACGACCCCGACTGGAAACGGTTGAGTTCCACGCCAGAGCCCGAGCCTGCATCCTCCTGCCCAAATTCTCGAAGCGCCCAATCAAAAAGGTCCCAAGCGCCCGAGCCGGCATCTCGCCCAAGCAAATCGTCGTCCAAGGACGCGTGCGCACCGCACGGGCGCCGCAAGCGCACCACACATGTGGCGCGATCGCCACCGTTTCCGTCGCGCGACAGCGAGCCGCCGTCGCGCAGCAAGCGCACGGCACCGCGCGCCGGGCGACGGCGCAGAGAACCACGCCTGAGTGGACGGGGCGGTCCGGAGGGCCGCCGATGTAACAAAACGCGCCGATGCGGCGCCGAGCGCCCTCCGCCGTCAGGCGCCAGCGACACATAGCGCACGACACGGCCCCGGGGACTGACACGTCCGCCAGCGATCGATGACGGCCTGCCGATGACGCCATCGCCATGCAGATTAATGCCCAGATACGTGTGGTAATTAAAAAATTCCAGCCAGTGACGACTGCTGCGTTCGATTTCCGCCTAGCGTCACTGGGCGGAGTGATGCGTAGGCTGAACGCGGCGGTTATCAGGAAGCACACGAGCAGGGGCCAAACGACTAGCTTCTTGAAAGCTTGCTCATTAAAAAACGCGGAAAGCGGGAAGTGTGCCACGAGGGTCAGCCTAAGACTTAACGCGCTCATGGTCCATCTAACTTCAGATTACTCTGAAATTTTTAGCTGTCTTCGGTGCGCATCTTGCCGACCACGGGCAGCGACGTAATGCATCACTTCAATACGGCCGCCTTGGTTACCACCCTTTCATCTATCTAAGGATTTTCCAAAGCTGACAGCGGAGATTTCGCCGTGGAACTCGAAACTCGACTGACTTTAGCACAGCGAATAAGGAAGAAAAGCTTTTAGCTTTTGGTTTGTAGGCACTATGAGTTCAAATTTCATATGGTATATCGTTTTTCATCATACCAAGATGCACTAGCCAAACGTACTAGTTAGACGTTCTAATGCCAGTATCTGCCCAGATTGGGAGTATTTTCTGCATTCATGTGTCTTATGTTTCAAGTGCAATATTTTTTCTGGATCTTTCTGAACACTTGTCATGCTTAAGCTCGAAATATTGAGCGTTGTTAACATAATTGTTATTTGACACCACCAGTATCTTCTGATATATTGCAGGTTCTGCACGCAAAATAACAACCTTGAACTCACATCACACAAAATAAGACGATTCATCTAACTTGTCATGCTCGAAATGAAATCAGATCCTAACATTCTTTCTCAAAATAAAGCTTGATTAGACAGGATGCTAGACATGTGGAGAAAGCGTGGCAGAGTCACGTGCCATATTTAAGATCGTGTCCACGTAAACAACACATTTGCGAACAACTCCGTCTTTTCCTGCGACTGTTCCGCGGGACAATTCGAATTATGCCTCCCCAGTGTTCGGGCTACACACTTGGCTTAACATCACACTTTAAGTGTCATAAAGTGTCACACATAAATTATCAGAAGTGTCATTAAGTGTCACACTTTAAGTGCAATGAAACTAAACGCTTGGCAGCGCTGCTCCTACGGCGGGTACCGGTGCATACCAGACACCAGGGCTGAACCTCTCATGCAGCTGTAAAGAAAACAAATTTTTGTTGCTGACTTATGGGAAACAGCACACATTTGACGCGTAGTTAGGTGTCCGGTGTTCATCCTGCAATGCAAGAAACGGATCGTCTTTTATTCAGGGACGGCGAACGCTGCAAGGGGGAGAGAGACGGCTTCCCTCCCCCCCCCTACCCCACCCCCACCTCACCTCACCTCCGCAGAAACTTAGCAGTGATGCTACGATACTGCATGGAAAGAAACGAGGCCGAGAAGAAAGAGCAGGGACTCAAACATATTTCAGCCGTATGCCGTCATCAGGTGAAGGGTAGAGTTACGTGTAGAAGAGGAAAAAGAGCGGGCAACCACAAGGCTTCGAAGCGAAAAGAGTGCAAAGAAATTCTTCCCTTCCTTCCTTTTCTTGTCTAACAAGTTTTTCTTGATTTTCTTCGTTCACTTATTTTTTTCTAAAAAACCAACTCTATCCTCACTCTCCCCCCCCCCCCCCCCCCCCCCCACCTGAAGGCAGTCTTCGGCTGAGAATGTGTGTGTGTCTCCGTTGTTATTTCTGCTCGGCCTTTACCATAGTGCTTCGTACTCCTACGACCAGGTCAGTGAATCCTAATCGCCTCACGGCGGCGGATTTAGGAGAGGTGGAGGTGGTGAGCTCCCCCCCCCCCCCCCACCTCCTACCCTCCATGGTGAAATTTGGCGCCCTGTGCCGAATGTGTCACAACATTCCGGAACTGCGAAAAATAATCACAAACTCATATCACCACCTGAATTTCGCACAAATTCCGAATGCTGCGCCTTGTTCGTCACACTGGCCCGGCAGCTGCTCGGTGGTGGTCCCAATCCACTGCTGATGGTGTTTGCCCCACGGCGCCAATGTAAAGCCATCCATCACTCCCCGGCGGCCGGGCACCGCTGACTGTTTGCTCGGCTTCGCTGACATGTCGTGGGACGGTCGAGGACGAGTCCGATAAAAGCGTTCCAGGTCCTAGTATTTGTACAGACAACATCGTGCTTAGTGAAGCATTCAGGAAGCCTGCGGGGTGGTAGTTATGATGTCATATAATTATGATGAAAACATCACAATAATGATACATTTATCATGAACAGCCGCACCACTTTGGCATGGCTGAGTTCGAACTGCCCTTGCATTGCAAAAATAGTATCACTGAATTGAGTGCTTGTTTAAATACCGTACACGTGTTTCCATTGTGTTTATGAGTTATTAGCTCACATCGGGAAACATATTCGACACTTCGTGCGTCGCCTGTCATATAACCGCACCGCTTTTCAGTGTGGCACTGTTACAGTGAAATGAGAAATACGTCCTTACTTCATACTGGTCAAATGTTTTAGGTGTCCTGCAAGGAACACGATGATAATTTGTTCAGGGTTCTATCAATTTTATATATATATATATATATATAAAACTAAGTTATAAATACGCCTTATTCACGAATTTCACATCGATGACTCCGACCCGTCCCAGAAAAAACTTTGTCATTTGTAGCCATTTGCAACACCGCATCTTTTTTAAAGGAAGAGATAACTGAACTATGCATGCACGGCAACGTTTGCCACTTTTTGAGCAAACTGAAATTTTTACCCTGTAATCTGGTGCAATCCAGTGAGTCGGCCACGTCTAGTCCGAAACAAAACCCAATCCATGTCGATTTAGCTCAGTCAAACCCAATCCAGTCGGATCCAATGGCGTCGACTCACGAATTAACAATAGATCCGTGCACTAAAAAGGCCGTAAAGAGCTGTAACAGACAAATTGCATGCAAACATTTTGGGTAGCGATGAAGCCGGAGAGAACCATGCCATGCGGTATAACAACGTGGTCGCCCTGTGCGCGATTTGCCAATAATGGAGAAGGCATCTAAAATGGCTTCGGTAAAAGTATGTGAAAAAGTATCCAGAGCGACAAAGCCCAAGTGATGGCACATCGGACAGGACATATTATTCAGATGTGAATTAAGGATAACGAAATGATATCCCCATGTCGTGTGCCGCCCTCGTAAATTAGAAAACATCGTGACGTTCTTTCGCCAGACGCCTCGGTAAGAGCGGAAACAATGTGCGAATAAAAGAACTCTCACCGTTTATGACAGGAGGCAAACAGTACACAAAGACATGTGATGGGGGTTATGAATATGGATAATGATATCCATATTATCCATACCCCACGGATATGGATAATCACATAAGCCTGCTTCAAACGTAAAATATTTGGCAATGTGCTACTATGCCTGGTAACTTCACTCCATGTTCCGCAAAGACGCCATGGATTCACAGACGACGCCCAATGTGCAGACGTTATCGCTGCGCCGCAGGGACAGTCTCTGATAAATAACCTGGTCATGGCAGGCCCCGGTAACGAATGTACGGCAATTCCGTACACGGCCTCTCCCGCGGCAAACGACCCCCACCCCACCACCACTGGGGACAGGGGATCAGTGAGCAAGGCCTGCCCGTGTGAGGGCGGGGCATTGGCACCCCCACACTTTGCATGGAAGCTTAACATCAAGACCTCTGCGATGAAGGGGAATGATAGCTTTATCATGGGCTTTTCCTCCACTTTTTGACCCGTAGTGACGTAATCGCAACCCCAGCGCCCCGTACTGCCTATCGTACTGCTTATCATGCTGCCTATCATGCTGCTCGCCTGTCACGGCCAGGAATACGAGCGGCAAGGAACACACGAATACTGCCTGTGGCTGCCTGTCACGGCCAGGAATACCAGCGGCAAGGAACACACGAATACTGCCTGTGGCTGCCTGTCATGGCCAGGAATACCAGCGGCAAGGAACACACGAATACTGCCTGTGGCTGCCTGTCATGGCCAGGAATACAAGCGGCAAGGAACACACGAATACTGCCTGTGGCTGCCTGTCATGGCCAGGAATACAAGCGGCAAGGAACACACGAATACTGCCTGTGGCTGTCTGTCATGGCCAGGAATACAAGCGTTCTGTCAGCTGCCCCGGCCCGTCCGATACACCCTGTAGCGTATGCCAGGCGCTGCATAGCCGAAACTGCCACCGCCAAAGCAAGCACATGCATTAATCATGATGACTTCGTCTAGCTGGTAACGTCTTCTCGAACGCGGTCCATGACTGCCGTGGACATTACGTGCACGCGCGCCTTTGAGTGTATGTGTGTTTGGGTGAGTGGCGGGGTGAGTGGACAGAAGGGGCAGGGGGGCTGTTCTCTCTCCACACATATGGCGGCTTCCCCACGCCGCCGACCACCGGCAGCCCGTCCCGTCCAATGTCAGCTAGCAGGGTCGTGTCCACAGCTCTCGCACGGCAGCCTCCCGACGTATTGCAGTTTTACACGCGACCCGACGTGAGGCTGTCACGGATAGGCTTGGGAATACTTGTGAAGTCGGCCAGCGACCAACATTCGCTTTTGTATTCTGTCCCCTTGAGAGCAGATTGTGACGATCGTGGAGCGTGGCATTCCAAGTACTGAGCTTTGTAGAGGGAGGGGAGGGGAGAGAACGAAGTGTACACAAAAATACAGGAGGCAAGAGGGACCTTAGAGCAGAAATGTACAAGCGAAACGGCGAGACAAAGCTACACAGAGAGGCAGAGAGAAAGAACCCGAGTGGGACACAGACAGCCGGAGACAGAGATTAGCTCGATTGCTGGAACCGAGATCCAGTCAAAAGAGAGAACAACACTGGGTGGTAATGACGGTGTTTTACATCAATTATGAACTTAATCTGATTGTAATCGTGTCTCCACAGCCGCCACCAGCCCCACACGCCGCCAGCGGCCACTGGTCGGGGATGGATAGCTTTTGGCCGCGTCGCCACCACATGGTGCTCGTCTGGCAGCTGCCCAGGAGCGTTCACCCCTCCTCCCCCGCCCCCCCCCCCCCCCCGCCCCCGACGCCACACTCGCCACAAACGGCTGTGGGAGAAGCTGTGCTTTTACCTGGGAGATTCCACGGCTACCGCATCGGCGTCTGCACAACACACCAGAAAGAAAGGCGAGCCATGTAAAAGCCATGTAAAGCAAGCTAAGTAAAGGTCAAGACCTGTCCGACTTGACACCGGGAGGGCTTTGACCTTTGTCTAGGGTTCGTCAATCCGCCAATAACGCGCACGTACTAATCTATTGCAACATGCGTATTGTCATTTCACTCTAAGGTTAGACCAATGAGTTAAAAAGTGCATAAACGGCATGATCATCTCACTTCATGCATAACATTATCTAACTAAGATCAGTAATGTTACTCAGAGAGCAGCAATCGAAGTACCCGCACAACGTAATTTGTTATGCGCCAAAGTAAATCTTTAACGTTGTATTAACAGTTTTAATCTACAAATGAAAATGATGAGGCAGAAATCAAATTTGCCTTTCAGCAAAATACACCAAAGGTTTGAACTCATTATTTTCATCTGTCTTTTTTGGCTTTGAACTAATCTGCTTGATATGATTTTAAAACCTAGAAATAAAAACACATTACTTTGTGTTTAAATTTTTGACCCGTAGAAAACCGCCACATCCGGCCCAAAACCTAGCCTTCGGGTTATTGTGAGTCACAGGTTGGCGGGCTGGCGGGCTGAAAAGTTGCGCCTCTTGCCCGGTCCCACCAAAACAAGTGCAGTGTCCGGTCCCACCATAAAAGTGCGGTGTCTGGTCCCACCAAGATAAGTGCAGCGTGCGGTCCCACCAAAGTAAGTGCAGTGTCCGGTCCCACCAAAAATAAGTGCACTGTCCCGCCCCACCAAAACAAGTAGTGTCCCGTCCAACCAAACTAAGTGCAGCTTTCAGTCCCTGAAAATAAATACAGCGCCCGGTCCCACCAAAGTAAATGCAACGTCCCGTCCCACCGAAGCCAGTGCAGCGTCCGGCCTAACTGAGAAAACGCTCCACGTCCGAGTTCGGTAAGGACGATTTTGGCCGCAGTCTCAAACAGAGGCAACGCAGCGGCAGCTACAACCGGTTAAATACATTTCGTACGGGTGAAAACAATGGACAGATGGCAGCACTGGCGATGACGCCGCCCGCTTCATCGAATGAGATTTGACGCACGGTGACTCTAACGCCAGAAAAGGTGCTCACATGCAGGCTCGGACTCCCCACACAGTCTCCATCTCCACTTTGAGAATTATAATATTCCTAAGAAGCTATGCTGACGGAATGGGGCGACAATGAGCGGGTCAAAAGATATAATTTAGAATACTGACAGCCAAGGCGTAGAACTATAAGCACCAGTCTACCATGCACAGGACATTACGAAAACTGGGAAACAAAATGTGTCACTTCGTGTGTTTTTGTTCATAAATGAAATTCGCTTGTCTCATCACGCTACGTCTTCCGGCAAGAGGCTAACGACTGCAATAAACTGGACTGAATGCAGTCATCGACGGGCTTTCCTGGTAGCGGACAACAGCACTGCCGACGAAAAAGACCTGGCCAATACGTGGACGCGACAAGCATGCAATTCCGCATGACAAACGAGCCGAAGTAATAGATACTTGCACGTCACGACAAATATGCCGAGCGGTAGCTGCGATAGGCGAACACGCGATGCGGAACATTTCAAGTTGATGTGAACTAGGGTCTTCAGCATTAGTGGGGAATGCTGCTGAACCTAAGAAGCCGTTCCTAGAAAGCAATGCAAAACGAGGCGTCGGCAGGAGCCGCGCATGTGCAGAAACGAACGCCGAACACGTACGGGCGACAAACGACCTGGAACTATCTTTTGAAGTGATTTCTTGGGGTATCAACATGAGGGCGCAATGCTTGCGCGCGGTGTGCATTGCGCATAAGCTCAGTGTCGACGCAACCCGTTAATTGTACGGCATTAAATGAGCCAGGTTTTCAGAACTCAAATGGTTTGATATGTTGTGTAAGGAAGAAAATAATTCTTATCGTCTCGTTCAAAATTCAAGAGTGCTTCCTCCTGCTTGGTGTACCCACAATGCCGAGAACGTACTCTAAGAAACAGTGGCGTAGTTTCGCACATTGAGTTCCGGGGCTGTATGATAAAAAAAATTACTGGGCCTGCCTCCAAAATATGTCAACAAAAATATTTCTACCCCGCTTTGGTCCACTTTCTTCCCACGGTCCGGATGGGGGGGGGGGTAACCCAAATTGGCTGGGCGGGGAGGGGGCTGAAGCTCCCCAACTGAACAGGAAAGGACACCCTGCTAAGCGACACGCACAAGTACTTACTTAGCTGATTCTTTAGGGCTATCCAGTCCGCGGGCGGCCACTGCCCCGCCTGCGTCCCTGACCCCGTCGCTCCGGGATCCGTAGAGGTCAGCAGGTCGCAGAGCTCAGTCTCCGTCAATCCCAGATGCGACATTGTCACGTAGCGACAGGCCGAGGCCACCAGCTCAGCGCCCAGCGTTCGCTCCAGCCTATCAAACGTCACTCGGTAATAACACTCGAGATCCTCCGGAATAGAGGTGCCCGGGTGAAACGAGCACGAGCTCAACGCCCATTCCGCCGCGCACGTGACGAACAGCGCGGAAGGGTTGGCTAGGCAGCGAGCCGTCGCCGCGTCGCGCTGTTCCCTCGTCAGCACGCGCTCGCTGCGCCCCAGCGCCCCGTCCAGCCGGTGCAGCACTTCATCCCGCGTCCACGCCGACAACCGCAGCACGTTTGCGTCGTCGGTGGCGCGCCACTGCTCGCCTTCCAGGTGCGCCAGGCTCGTCGCGGTGACGATTAGCGTCACGCCCGGTCTGGCGAGCTGCATCAGGCACAGCGCGCCCGCCTCGGCGCCACTCCGGTCCAGATCACTCGGCGCCAGCACGGCGTCCACATCGTCCAGCAACACCACCACTCCGCCCTCGACCAGTTCGCTGCCCCTTTTCGCCGCCGGCGCCCATGCCGATGTCGCTACCGCTGCCGCTGCCGCCGCCGCCTCCGGCGCGTCCCCGTCGCCGCGCGGCGCCAGCTCCTGGAGTCTCGCCTGCACCTCGCTGGCGAGCGCGGCCAGCAGCTGGCGGCGGTGCAGGACGGCGTCTTGGGGCCGGAAGCGCCGCACCACAGGCGGCGCCTCCAGGTGCTGAGACAGCTGGGCCAGCAGCGACGTCTTGCCTGCGGACAGCGCGGCCGTTATACGAGACAGCACAGCAGCCAGGAGAGCCTTACAGCAGCAGGAGCGTGCACAGGACGAAGTGAAGCCGGCAGGGGCGCACCCAGGGTAGAACGTTCGGAACGGAGACGCGGCCAGGTCAGACTCAAAGGGGCAGGAGCACACTCGGAACACACTACAGGGACAAGGTCGTGTCGACGTCGGGAACTGTGCTGTGTTCAAAATATGGATTATGGATTCTGGATACCAGCAAAATAGACACATCCAGGATAAAGCTGCCGAGCCAACGAGACAAGGAGCAGAATAGAGTCAGACGACTAGAAGGGCGAAACAGCGTGTTAACAACCGCGCTGAACGGTCGACGGATAGGGGCTAGAGACACAACATTTTCCTACATATCAGCCCACTGCCCGGCCCTGCTCGTAGTCCAGCCCGCAAAGGCCCGCCGTGCTGAAATGTTGACCCACCGTTAACCCACAACCTCTAAGCTATTACAAGCCGCATTTTGCCCTTTATCCCTAATTTTACACATATACATTAAAAAGGTGTTCCGAATTTGTGTGGTGTCTCAACTGAAATAACCATCTTGAAGATCATTCGGCGCATTTCACAGCGATACCCCTCCTAAGACCCAAGCCTCGCTAGATTCTTTCTGAGCTTTTGTATTCTTCTGAGAACATCCACGGCTAAGATTTGAGCCCTCCGCTTCCCTGTAATTTGATAACAGACGGTATACCACTGTTCTGTATGGTGGCGTAACTTCACATTTCTTCGAGGGGTCATAGCTGTCCAATAATGAGCGTAACTCTCCTTCTAATGACTCGTCCACCAAGTGTGGAAGGCATAGGAGGAATGTCTGCAAAAAAGACCCTAAGGCCTCTACGTCCAAGCTGCTCCTGTATACAGGGTAAGTATTGGGCTGAGCGGAGGCTGGGAAGGAAGCGAGGAACTGCCGGAATCTCCAGTCGATCGGTCAGCAACAAGAGGAGGACATCTGCTGTTGGCCACATCGACGGGATTAGTGGTCGTGCGACGTCCGACCACTGGTGGAAAACGGCAGAGATGCATCATCTCCCCCAGAAGAGGTGCCTCATCTCTCCCAGAAGAGATGCCTCATCTCCCCCAGAAGAGATGCCTCATCTCCCCCAGAATAGATGCTTCATCTCCCCCAGAAGAGATGCTTCATCTCCCCCAGAAGAGGTGCCTCATCTCCCCCAGAAGAGGTGCTCCATCTCCCCCAGAAGAGGTGTCTCATCTCCCCCAGAAGAGATGCTTCATCTCCCCCCAGAAGAGGTGCCTCATTTCCCCAGAAGAGGCGCCTCATCTCCCCCGGAAGATCTTCCCCAGAAGAGATGCCCCATCTCCCCCAGAAGAGGTGCCTCATCTCCTTCAGAAGAGGTGCCTTATCTCCCCCAGAAGAGGTGCCTCATCTCCCCCAGAAAAGTTGCCTCATCTCCCCAGACGAGGTGCCTCATCTCCCCGAGAATAGGTGCCTCATCTCCCCAGACGAGGTGCCTCAACTCCCCGAGAATAGGTGTCTCATCTCCCCAGAAGAGGTGCCTGATCTCCCCGAGAATAGGTGCCTCATCTCCCCAGAACCCCCGTGAAGGCGCCGATGAAACACCGTTTGGTGTCAGGAGCGCAGCGCCGCGTGAAAACTGGGCCAGATGGGGACGCACAGCACCCACTCAAGAGAGCGGGGCGGGCCGCGCACCATCGCGGATCACGCGACACTCGAGCCCTCGCTGCAGAGCACGCCAGGAGCTGATCCCGGGAAGTGGGGCAGGCCGGCCCAGGACATGCTGCGCGAAGGGCGCGTTCCAGCTAGGCTATGGGATAACGCAGAAAGCATGGGCGGACCGACCCATTTACAGGAGACGACGTAAAAATAGTTAGGTAATAGAATACATGAATAACTATGTAACTAATTATAAACTGCGACCCAGTAACAAAATAGTTACGAAATAAAACATCATGCAAAGGACCAAGAGAAGTTTTTGGAGTGAAACCAGAAGAGTGGCAATAACCGTGCATCTCAGGCTGAGCGCCTCCGACTCTGGGCTTCTCTGCTATCTCCCGGTGGTCACGACGCCTGCCGCCGCGGATAATCGCTTGGTCGAAGACAGCTCGCGTAATGTCAGTGCCCGAGCTAACCTGCCCACCCTGACTGGGTCATGGACGACTGTACGCTTCGAGCTGACCCTCGACCTCTCCCCAACAGGCGGTTGCGCCCCATAGCAACCTCTTCCCTTCTGGGTAACGAGAGAGCGATGGGGGAGGGACACTGACCAGGCGATCCTCCCGGCCCAGCACTGCTGCTGGGCACGGGAGGCGAGTCCTGGCGATCACGAAATGAGTATATGGGGGGGGGGGGGGGGAGGGGAGGGGTGAGGCGATGCATCCCGCGGTTTCGGCTCTGCGGCTGCCGACTTGTAAGGACGGAGAGCGGAAGTCAGGCAAGTAGGCTGATGTGGCGACTGTACTTGAACGACTTTGCACACACATTTGTACGTATTTGCTGCGTTTTGTTTACCGTTGAAGCGAGGCTAGAGGGGATTTGATAGGAACAAAGACAGGACGCTTACCCCCCCCCCCCCCCCGGCGTGGTGCGGTCAGCCGGCGGCTCGCCGTACCGCCTGTTTCGGCTAGAGTGTTGGGCGCGAGCGCCTACAGTGCCCGAGAGGTCGACGGCCTCGGGTTAGCCGACGGGGTCCCGACGGCTCGCTTGCGAGAACAGGAGAGGTCGACGGTTACACGGCCTCGGGTTAGCCGGCCGGGTCCCGACAGCTCGCTCGCGAGAGCAGGAGAGGTCGACGGTTACACGGCCTCGGGTTAGCCGACCGGGTCCCGACGGCTCGCTCGCGGGAGCGTGAGAGGTGTACGGTTAGACGGCCTCGGGTTAGCCGGCGGGGTCCCGACGGCTCGCTCGCGAGAGCGTGAGAGGTCGGAAGTTAGACGGCCTCGGGTTAGCGGCGGGGTCCCGCCGGCTCGCTCGCGAGAGCGTGAGTGGTCGGAAGTTAGACGGTCACGGCTTAGTCGGCAGGGTCTCGATGGCTCGCTCGCGAGTGCGTGAGAGGTCGGAAGTTAGACGGCCTCGGGTTAGCCGGCGGGGTCCCGACGGCTCGCTCGCTCTCGCTGAGAGGTCGGAAGTTAGACGGTCACGGCTTAGTCGGCAGGGTCTCGATGGCTCGCTTGCGAGAGCGTGAGATGCGAACGACGATCGCAGCATGCGAGCGGCCGGGCTGGTCGGGTAGACTTAATGACCTAAGCCAGTCACGCGCGCTTCGGCACGATGGCTCGTTCATTACAGCCCCCGCCGGCCCTCGTTCATTCACCTACGCCGAGGTTGTCTAGAATTAGTCGTTGGAGGCGGCTGTAGGGATCTATGTCGGTTCATTACAGCCCTGGCCGGTAATGCGTCGCGGTCGGGCGTGGCGTCAGGACTGCGTGCGCGTGCTCTTGGAAGGTTTCTTTGGCTAGATGGTGCTCGTTCGTCTTTTTCTAATCCATCCGACTGAAAATGATAACGTGATCCGAGGTGATCCGACTGATCCGACTACGAACGGTAGAACTCGGGTAGAACGGTAGAACTATTCACCTGAACGCCGTTCAGCGAGTGGGTGCCGATTTTCCTCACGATCACGTCTCTTTCTCTCTTTCTTTTATTGGTATCTTGGTCAAACTCAAAAACTCGTCGGTCAAACCGGACTGACAGACCATACTCGGTGCATATCATGCTGTCCTTCTCTCCCGGCCGACTCATAAAGATGCAACGGTCACGAAGAGTGATATGCGCGGAACACGACAGGATAACAGGGTTCGGCTATGGTCACGGGTCAGGAGCAGCAAGACGACTGCTGTCGTGCACCTACGCCGATGAATGTTTGATGGGTAGCGCGACTTAAAGGCGTAACATCGTTCATTTCTGGGCTTGGAGACGGTCGACTCGTTCCGCTTATCCCTACTTGACCTCAGGCGTGGCGGCATGAAGGGGCGTGGGTCAAGATATGACCAGGGACCAGTTCGGACCACTCGGGGTGCAGGGATGCGCAGGCGATAGATGGATCTATTCGGTTGCGTTTAAGTCCTCTGGAGGGAGAGACCAGGACGCAGTCCGTCCCTCTCCGACGCGACGTACGCCTGGTCTCACATTTCTTTGGTGGCGGGGTGTTCGGTACGGAAAGAGGTCCCGCCATCTATCTGCCAGACGCATATTGGAGAGGCGACAAGGGACCAAGTCGTCGGCCAGGCCGGTCGGGCCGAGTTCTCAGAGTGCGCTGGCCGTGGAGACCGTAAGGTGTAAGCGCAGTTCATGCCGGGCGCTCGCTGTCCGCCGGTGGGTCCCACTCTCCGATCAGGTGCACTGTCTACATCCAGGCCTCTGAGGGACGCGCCGTGATGTGATGCCTCGCAAAGCTAATTCCGGCAGGCGGGAGGCGCAGTGAAGAATCGCCGGAGGCGGCTACTCCGTACTGGGCGTGGCGCGGCCGAAAGCGTGTGTGCAGCAGCAGGGTGCTGCGAGCGGTGGGCGTAGCCGAAGGAGCGGTGGGCCGCCTCATCCTGGACGAGGCAGGATCGAGTACGATCCAAATAGGAAGCCGTCGCCATGGAGGGCAGGCGAGCGAACGGATCGCCGCCCAGCTCTGGCACACCTGAGGCCGGCCCGGTACCTGGGTCGGTGTCGGGCCGATAACAAATTGCCCTGATAGGTTTTGCAAAGGGCATAAACGTGGCTTCGTTGGATGATTAAAACGGATAGAATGCTATCTAATTCAGGTCAGCGATGACACGCAAAGTCGTGTCGATTAAAATGTCAAGGTGCTGGAAAAGAGGAGGGGGTCCTATCCGTGTGCCAGCCACCTATGAGTGGGGCGATGTAGGCGTCAAAGAATATGTTTGTTTGGAGTGAATGTGGTAAGGTGCCAAATGCAAAAAGTCTGTGTTGATTAGTAAAGGAAGGGGGGGGGGGGGGCAGGGAAGCTCCCGGGGTTGTTATCTGGCGGGCCCTTTGCCAATGTCATTCACCGGTTACATGCGATCTCTGCAAAATTTGGGCGTACAAACCATGGGATTCAGGATGATAGATTTTTTTCTCAATGCATCTAGTTCCGTTATTGTCCCGCTTCAATGTTATCACCAGCTAAGCGGTGGAGGTGGGCTACCGTGGTTAAGCACGCACGATCATGTACGGAAAGACAGTCTTTCATGGTGCCTGACCGGACTTCAGAGGCGTCCCCAATGACACGAGTGGCGGCGTGTATGCGGAGGTGTACCCAGCGACACCGGGATGGCGGGGTGATGTGCGTGCAGAGGCGTCTCCAGCGACACCGGTATGGCGCGTGCACACGCACGGAAACAGAGCCCCCCCCCCCCCCCGCCCCCTCCCACTCCCGACCAAACCAGTCGGCACTAGTCATCGTTTGGGCAGAGAGAAAGCATCTGACAAATGCACCAGAAACCAGACGCCGTAACACACCACCATCCATTTATCTCAATACAGGGAGAGTGGATACACTAACAGCCTGTCATTCATTTTCATCCCACTTCATTTGCACACGTCTCGCCAGCACACCGTATAACGGAGGCTCTTAGAAGCAATTGCCGGCGACATAATCAAGACCGGGGTTGTATGGAGATCTGCCAGAAATGCTCCCCCGTCTCAGACCCAATCCGACGCTACTAAAATGGACAGCGTCACAGTTATCCCATTTCCGTGTACAGCAGTGTACAGTGGTCGGGAGAATTCCATGAATGAATAAAGGTTAAGTCGATTCCGTCCCAGCTGGATGCATCAAATCAATGCCTCCGTCAAAAGCTTATTGTAATGGAATGCTAGCAACCGGAATTTTTGTTCAATCTTTTGACGCATTAAATGCATCACAAAAAGGGGCAACGATTAACAGTGGCGCATAGATGGGTCGAAACACTACGCCAGCATCAAGTCCATTAACAGATGGAGAACTGAACAAAAGATCTCGCCATTAAGCGCGAGGCGACAAGCGCAAATGCAAGCAATCTCAAAGGAGAAGCAGCAACCAAAGCAGTGGTTCAAACGAGGGACACTGCAACGAAATCATTGATGAGATGGCGCTGTAGGCGGTCGACCGTTGAGGCCGTTTTACGCGCTGCACCCCATTCACCGCTCAAGATGGCGGTCGATATATAATTTATCAAGGAAATCTCTTGCAGCTCCGCCATTGGGCTTGCTGCGTGCCCAATTAGGCACGTAAAAACCGAATCAGAGCATGTAAAGCCCTGACCAATTAATCTTGAGTCGGTTCCCGGCATCGCGACGATTCTGGGGTTTTATTATTCGTTTATTTTTTTGTCCGAGCCTTTCGATTGGACGGATTTCTGGAACCGGCGCCCCCACATGCAGTGCAGACTGCGTGAGTCCTGACCTCTGTCATCCGATCTCGAAAATCCGGGCAGGTTTTTGCAGTGAACGCTTAGCCCGTCGCAATGCCGAGTGCGGTCCGCTTCTGTCCTCTGACATCACCCGACCTTTGGCGCGCTAAATGCCACCGGCTGTATCCCATCCAGTCAGAGGAAAACGGCGAGCGACTAAAGCGTCGTGAACCTACCCTGCCTCGCGTGCATGCGTAGGAAAGTGGGCGCTCTAACCAACTGAGATACAGGAGCAGACGAATCATACCGTAACAAGTTGAAAAGGTCAAAAGAGAGTGTCCCATCACGAACAAAGGAAGTGGGCACAGAGACAGCCAACCTAAAATGCAGACATAATCATCTACGAAAACAAGGAAAATCTCACCATATCCAGCGGCGCCAACGATGATCAACGGCTTGTTGGACGTGCTGTGGCTTTTGACCCAGGCCATGACCTGTTGGGCCGCGGCCGTCACCAGAGGGTCGGACCAGGAGGTCAGGCAGGACAGCAGCTCGGCGTGGTGCTGCCGACTGGTGGAGATCTCCTGAAACACGGCGGCCCTGGTATCGAGAGCCTGCACAATCATCACATGGGTCTTCACAGAGACTGGGTGATCCATAGGACTTTTTGGGGCCGGATCTGTCGTACGAACGCTCGCATTACTGCAATGATCTTTTCTCCCGGCCAACTGCGAAGTGGGGCCATGAAAGTCATGCAAAATATCATAAATTTGGAATAACGCCTCAGCGGCGCCAGAGATCACTGCAACGCCACAAGCGGAAGAAACGGCGTCTCGCTCATCTGCTCCGACCCATCGCTTCCGAAACCTGTCACACATGATTGATGAGGTCACTTCTCCTGAGTGGCAAGCCTCTGGTGTCTCATCTCCCGAAGGATGGACTGAAACTGACCCACCCACTGATCCCGATTCAAACCGCGCACTGCACAGTCCGTGCCTGTCGGGGTGAACTGGCTTTCGCTCGCTAGGTGACTGCGCAGCTGGTGTTGCCGCCCAGCGTGCCGACCTCGCTCGCGCTTCACATTAAAGTTCACACCTCCATCACCGAAGCCGTCGGGATTTTGCGGTGGCGGATGGGATGGGATTCCGGGGTCGCCTCGTTTCGTGGGGAATGGAAAAGGCTTTTGCGTGTCCTTATTACCTCCGGCGGACAAGTTCCTTCGCTGCGGCAGGTGGTGAGAAACTTTGACATTTTTTGGTTCCCAGGCTTGAAAAGGTTTGGTGATATCGTGTGCGTGCTGTTATGAATGTGCGTCGCGCGATTGGACTGTTTAAAGCTGCTGGACGGTCGCGAAGATGAAGACTTTATATGTATATATGTATATATATACATATATATATATATATATATATATATATATATATATATATATATATATATATGCGTATGAGTGTGTGTGTATGTGTGTGTGTGTGTGTGTGTGTGTGTGTGTGTGTGTGTGTGTGTGTGTGTTGTGTGTGTGTGTGTGTGTGTGTGTGTGTGTGTGTGTGTGTGTGTGTGTGTGTGTGTGTGTGTGTGTGTGTGTGTGTGTGTGTGTGTGGTGTGTGTGTGTGTGTGTGGTGTTGTGTGTGTGTGTGTGTGTGTGTGTGTGTGTGTGTGTGTGTGTGTGTGTGTGTGTGTGTGTGTGTGTGTGTGTGTGTGTGTGTGTGTGTGTGTGTGTGTGTGTGTGTGTGTGTGTGTGTGTGTGTGTGTGTGTGTGTGTGTGTGTGTGTGTGTGTGTGTGTGTGTGTGTGTGTGTGTGTGTGTGTGTGTGTGTGTGTGTGTGTGTGTGTGTGTGTGTGTGTGTGTGTGTGTGTGTAATTATAGGACTTGTGTGTGTTGCACGGGAGTAGGATGGATCAGCATGGAGCTGAAACGTCAGCTGCCCAAAGGACGAGAAATTGGGGCTGCTTGGAAACCCTAGATTCAGGCAATTAATACCAGAGATTGAGCCATTTGAGTAACCAATTATTGCGTCCAACTAAGCCATCGCAGGCAATTTGTGTAATGATGGGTGTATGGGAAGCTGCGACAGGCGGGGACGAGCGGTCCAAAGCTCGCATCAGTCGACATGAAGGCTGTTCTGAAACAGCTAAATGCAACACATAGGCGAAACTGCTGGCTGAAAGCGATGACTAAACCCGTCTGAAATGGCCCACTGAAACAGCCACCGGCATAAAAGCAACTACCGAATGCTGGAGACCCCGTTTGAACCTTCGCCTACAGCATCCTGGTTGGCGCAGCGAACTGAACTCCGTGACCCCCGACCTCACTCGCGCCAGCTGATGGCGCGAGACGGGCCGGCGCCACGCGCTATTGGTTCGCGCGATTGAAACCACCGGCCGGCCCGTGTCCATTGTCTCGCGTCCGACGGTCATGCAATTAGGCGGCGGCGTCGACCTGACGGTCGCCAAAGCCCGGGACGTGTCGCCATTAGCGATACGCAATCAGGGGCGGCGTCAGCGGCGAGAAGCCGGGAGGCCCCACCGCCCCGCCCCCTCGCCGCGGCAGGCACTGACTCGGGAGGCGTTTCATGTTCACCTCCGGTATGCCGCGGGAGAAAAGGCATCGCTTAGTGTTTGGAATGAATATTGGGGACAGGACCTTGTCCTGGGGTGAATATCGGTATATCGCGACTAGTAAAATACACAAACATAGCAAGAGCTATGCCCATTATAGACCCTAAAATAAAGCCCGTGTTATGATTTTCACGCTGTCCCGTTCTTCACTATAAAAATTGAGATTCGCACACCAGATGAGTGGCGACGTTTTGACGCTAACGACCTGACAACCAGCGCGCCGAATCACTTTAGAAACATTGCAAAGCATGGGGGATAATCTTTTTTTCGTGCAGTGGGATCCGTCGTTGTCATGACTGGTATCAGCAGCCTAGCCATTATTTCCTTACGAATACAAATACAGACAACGATATCTTTTGGTCTGGCTTAATCAACAGACCTCTATTAAACGTCACACGCTCGATAAAAATAAACCAATTGAAAGAACATGGTCTTGGAACATGATTAACCGAACTTGGACATGACGGGCATTGAAAGTTTTACACAAGTTTCAAGTGTATTACATTTCATGTTTGAGTTCCTTCCGCACATCTTATTTACCAAACATGTCACAACGCGCTGTTCGCGTTCCAAAAACGCCGCCTAGCAAATCAACGCCGTTTCAGCGCATTTTAGGGACCGACATAGCAATGATGCCCTCACAGGATCAAACTTTGCTACGAATAGATAGAGTTATGGGTGAGTTTGCTTCCGGTCACGAAGTATCACAAGCCATCGGCATGCGCGTTTTCGACCACGAAATTCCCTGACATGCCACGGAAATGTGTCCGGCTTTCCCACATCACAATGGTCGACCTACATTCTGATCCTTTGCAAATCCAGCATGGGCCATCTGGCTTTTCTTGATGCGATTTATTCCATTAGACCATGGCAGAAGATGCCATGGTTCCCCTTCACTGAGCTCACCACCGCCATCCCCGGCCAGCAAGAGCTTCCACAAGAGCGACAAAAATAACAAATCCACCCGGATACTCGCATTTCGCATACGGGAGCATGCAAATCCACGCTGCTTCGGCGCCGACAAAGCTATTTCAGCGAAATGTTACGAAAATGCCAAGCTTGACGAAAACTTATCAACATAAGCTGAAATGCCTACACGCCGGGATTTCAAGAAGTGGGTGATGATATGGAGCAGTGCCAGCTCAGACCAATTCTACAAAAAACTTTCCTTTTATCCTCTCTAAGATAAGCAAAGTGGTTTTCAAGTGCGTATTCACCGTAACTGTGCGTAAGCATAACATGAAATTTTAAAGTACGGTGCCAAACCGAGCGACGGAGAATACATGCAGTCACCAGAGCCACACGGCAGAAAATGAAGCGGGAAGTGTGCTGCATCGGTATAGACCACGTACACGGCATTCTTCGCTGAGGAGCCGCCGAAGGTCAGCGTCTTTGCATTGATCCAAACAGGAGGCTCTTATATACCGACGACCAGCGCTGCACGTGTTTGCTTTTCATGCCTGAGGCCATCCCGTGCGTAAGTGTCAGCGGCTGCCAAAATCTTCTGAGAAACCTCCGTGCCAATTTCAAGACAGTCCATAATTTTGTCCAGCATGAGAAACCTCCTGGTAAATACCAGGACTACCCATCATTTTCTTACTCTCTTCCAAACGTGAAAACCAATGGTGTCTCGTTCAAACAACATTACATCCAGGCACTATCCAAACCAACATCAATTTGGATGTTTACGCTAATGAAATGAAGCTGCCATATTTGGCCCAGGATATGCAAATTGACCATTTTCAGGCAGTCCCAATAAGGGCTTACTTTATAACATATTCCATCAAAGTAAGGCATCATTCCAGCTGAAAAATGTGCTTCAATGGTGTGCCCTTACAAGCAAATCAACATCCACTGAAGGAGGTTGCAAGTTTTGCCGACTATGAAAACTGAGGGCTCAACACACGTTACTTCTGCACTACTTGTTGTCGACATTTTCTGCTTTCAACTTCACCTTAATTGTAGTACTGAGAAAAGCTTGTGTTGGATTGAAATTTGTATGCTGCTAAAACTTCCAAACAGGTTTCAAACAATATACTATGCCAGAAAAAGAACTCGCAATACTTGGTAACCTGACCCTGACATGCCGCGGTTTGTAAATTTAAGTCAATAACTTAACTTTACAGGAACAAAGAGCGTTATGTTGCACGCAGGATGTGTTTGTTTCCAGTGTTAGTGTTACAGGAAGCCCGTACTACATAAGTTAGTGCACTTAGACATGCACACAGGACAAAAGAAATTGAAAAGAATGACATCAAAACGTTGTTCATCATTCATCTGCCTTCTCGCTTTGTCCCATTCAAGATGTAATATCCTGACCACCGCAGCTCAATCTACAGCATGTCTCTACGATACAATAAATGAAAACATAAAAGGCCAGTCCAAAGCTAGTTGCAGTTGTGAAACTGCACTACTGCGTCACGCCCGCGTTGGCCGCAAAGATCGAAGAGCAGCATAGCCAGGGTGTATGCTATTCAGAAAAGCCTGAGTCTACGTTGGCTGCACACGGCTGTCGACCGCAATTCCGCCCCGTAATGAGACCCACGCTGCCACCCGGCTTGTGGCCAGTGACCCCTCCGTTTTGACATGCAGCCTTGATAATGTGAGTTGTGCAGAGGTTCGGCTGGCTGTCCGAGTCACGCGCCGCCGATTGATTTGAAACACCGGCACCAGTGTTTTCGCATTAGCCGACTGGTGCCAGGAGCGGCACCAGATGGCGCCACTCTTGGTGCGACCCGTCGGCGCGTTTCGGCGCAGCACGCTCGCAAGCTTGAAACACACACACACACACACACACACACACACACACACACACACACACACACACACACACACACACACACACACACATATATATATATATATATATATATATATATATATATATATATATATATATATATATATATATATACATGCATACATGCATGCATACATACATACAGACAGACCAAAGACGGACCCTTAGCTTTTCTCTGAACGGCTGCTATGTCTGAATATTGCTTTGCTTAAAGCTGCAAAGTATACTTTTGGGGCAAAGCGTGAAAAACGCACCATTTCCTCCGTCGTTTAGCTATACCTGATGGATTCAGTTCACATAAAGACACCTCAGTCTACACACATACTTCATATGCCACACCAAGTGGGTTCGTTTCACATTTACAGTTCCCAGTTCACATCTCTAGTTCATATGCCACGTCATGTGGCTTCGGCTCACACATCAGTTCACAAAACGCGTGTCATCACGCGGCGGTACCGCATAGCTCCTTACCCCATCCCGATAGGCACATCTGATTGTGCCCACTTACTTCTACATAAAAAGTCCCTAGGATCATTCACAAAGCCTCCCAGACATTCCTCTAGATCACATTCGTAGTCCCCATACATATATCACATTTTAAGTATCTCGCCGGATCCACATATCTCTCAATCCATACATATATCGCTCCTACACTTCTAAATCCATACATCTATTGCCTACGCACGTATAAATCCACACAGATCTAGTGCAAATAGATCCCATCCGGCATGCCATCAGCGCACAGATTTATGTCCACTGGCCCGCGCAATCTACGCACACAGTCACACCCGGGGACGTCTCATCAAGAAGACGATCGACCGTCGCGCAGTTACGCCTCCAAAGTGAGTGCCCGGATCGGTATTGGACCGCTCCCGGAGTGCTCCGCCCCTCCTCGCAGACCTGCTCTCCTCTCTACCCACCCCTCCCCCTCCCCCTGATGGAAGCAGGTCAGGCCGACTCCCTCAGGAGTCATTTGATCCGCACAAACGCCGAAGGGACGCCTGCCCGACGCGGATTAACGGTAATTGTGCAGTTTCTCCTGCGCGGAGGTGCCCGCTGCCACCTGAGCACGAGATGCAGTGGCGCCCGCCTCAGGGCGCAGTGGCGGATCCAGGCGGCAGTCACGGGAAGGCACGCAAATCATCATTTCGATGCGATGCTAGAACGTGGTGAGTTTTATGGATCATGTTTAGATGCATCATAGTTGAATTTTATGCATCATACGTGGAGAGCTTTAAAACATTTTTCATATTTAACTCAACGAATACTGAAATAATTCCGTGGGAAATTGTGTATATACCCTTGACAGTCCAATTCCCACTTATCTCCGACGGACAGACAAATTAAATGAAAAGGAACTAAAGCCACTCATACTGCGACGTCTTGGGAACGCACTCCATTCTACGAAAATCGAGCTCATTTGTTTTAACCACCAGTTCATGCGAGTGGCATAGTATACAGTTAGACATAAGGAGAACGACAAATACGTGTAGTTGATCCAATCCAATGAAAGCAGAAACCTGGCTCACAAGAACAGAGCCCGAGGCCATGCCGATACCGGAGGGGTACCTGCTCTCTTGAATGCAAGGACCAATAAAGCAGGAGCGTTGCTGCAATTTTGAGCTTGTTTGTAATGTTCGATGCTAACTTTTTGATTGGATGAATTCCAGGGATCAGCACCCATGCCAAGCAGTGGCTGTTGCTTAAACATTGACTACATCATTCAATCGTAAAATCCTGGCAAACACCAGACATTCCTGGCGTGGTTAAACGTGCCGCAACGCTTGGCATGGCCTGTCCTGCCCTCTGACGTCACCTGACCTTTGGCGTGACGGCTGTCATCGGTCGCAGACCATCGCAGTAAGTGGCAAATAGCGAGCGACCAGCGACCTGAAGTGACCAAAACCCACTCCGCCCACGAGTGGGTGCATCAGAAGGCGGGCGCTCTAACCAACTGGGCTGTTGAGCGAAACAACATTGAAGCCGTTGACGATGGTGACAAAGTAAGGATTCTTTGGGGGGAGGATATAAAATCAAATACTTGCAGTTTCGTGTGTAAGATATACAAACCCCATTTCTACTGCTGAAACGAAACCGGCAATGCAATGATAGAACGATGCATACATTGCGTGATTTGTGTTAAAAAAAACCAGCTGATTTCGCAGGCATACAAAAATATTGCAAGTTGAGGACTGCAGACATAGCACTACAAAAACATAAGTATGAGGCGCAGCACTAGCACGTAGTTTCCATCAAGCTTTATGTTCAGGAGACTTGTGTTCATCCAGCATAGTTTTGGGTCCTACGTGCAAAGTGAGGCAAAGTTGTTGTGGAAGGACACAGTAAAATACTAGGTTCAGGGCAAAATACTTACATTATAAATATATAATATACAAAATATTCAACAAAATATGCAATAAATCTACAATAAAATATATGAATTAAAATATACATACACAAAATACATAATAAGGTTCAGAGCAAAATACTTACAGAAAGAGATGAAGAAACCATACACTGAAATTCTTATGGAGCAAGGTGAACGGTGTAACTCTTAAAATGACACCCACACTCCGCGCCACCCAAGTGTTCCTAACCCCATTACTTTCCCATCGCTGTTCTCGGCCCGCTAGCCAAATAATAAGGTATCGTTACCGCCACCACACATCGTCATGAGACGCCAACCCGTGAAGAAGGTTCTCCTTTTATCATGGAAGCGAGACTAGCCTTGGTGAGCTTGAAACATATGGTGACGACGACATGCCAACCGGGATTTCAGCGTTATATTCTCTACATCTTCGGGACCTGAACGGCCCCGCCTGGCGCATATTTGCAGCCCCAGTCGTAAAATGCCAGCGTGTGTTGCATATTTGAGCACCAGTCGACATGCCTAGGAATCCGGGAGATCGATATAGAATAGAGGGCCTAGGAGACCTTCAACTGTCGGCTCGTCACTCCCGATCCGGTGCGTCACTTTCCTCCATTTTCATTCTATATCGGCGCAGGTGCACTGTGCAGTGATAGGAATTGGAAGGAATAGGAACCAAGGAATTGCAATGCCACCCGAACACAGTAACACAGCCGAGCACGAAAATAATATAAAATAAAGTAAAATAAAATGCATCGCTATGCCTTCATGCAGTAACACATTTTCTAAGCGTGAGAAGATTTATGCTGGGGCGCAGCAAGATCCCCTCTCCGCATAAACACCGATTTTTTTCGTTTTTCACCATAGACGCCTTCGGACAGAAAGTTAAAAAGTAGGTGTGGTACGATGTCACCAAGTTTCGCTCCACTTCATAAGAAAATTATCACTGCGCCTTTGGATTCAAGCAACAAGAAATGCATGTTGTGATGTACATCCAGCCTTCTCGTCTCTGATCGCTCTCCTCATTGGCCTTAAAGGGACTGGTAAAGCGTGACCAAGCAGACGATTTGAACAGCTAGAAAGTGCGCGCAGTAGATGAAGCCTCTATCGTTGAAAATCAACACCACGCGATCATTTGATCTCTATGTGACCTGTGATGTCATGTGAAGATGTGGTCACGTGATGATATGACCTATGTCAACGACGTGACTTGAACTTAACTATCCCCCACTATCGCAAGGCCTTCTCTACAAGTTTGTTTTCATTTTCCAACATTTTTCCATACGCACATAGTCCCTTTCTGTCTAAGTCTTCATATTGTTGCCCAGATGCCACAGGTTTCTGTTACAGAATGCTTATTGGACTTGCCTATGTTTTGGAGAAATAACCGAAGCGTACAAGCCTTCGGAGCCAATCGTAGATGACTCTCGTGGAATGCCTTTGGTGTGCCATAGCATGACGTGCACGTGAGAAAATGACAATGGCAATGCCTGCGTGCCTGGCATGCGGAAGACAAACGTGATGGAAAAAACTTCGGCAATGCTCACCGTCGTCTCCATGTTCTCATTTGTGCCCACAGCTCCCAGAAGTACCACCTCCGACACCCGTCCCATTCTTCTTAAATTTCAGATCATACCCCTTGGACAAAATGGAACGTCTACATACTTACGTAAACAACACCCATGCGTGCCAGCCATGACGGGTTTTGTAATTGTGCGCGGCTACGCACACGTCTGACAGAACAAAAGCAAGTTCTTCGCTCGGAATGCTGATCCTGCCCATGCTTTTCCCGAAAGTAAGGTT